CCACGATACTGTAACTCCGGCAGAAGAAAGGTTCATACAGTTGCTACTTGAAACCATGAAAGCAATGAGAAAATCAGAAAGTGAGAGGAGTTATTATCGTTTTGCTCTCCGGTTTCATAGAGTGACGTGGGGCCCTGCCCCCACTGTGCGGGAAAGCGCGCCTCCTGCTCGTGAGCCGGAATCCTGGGGACGTTGCTTCGAAAATGACTTGCCTTTGGCTCCCTCCGAGCCTTACTCAGCAAAGCAACTGTTTGACTTGTTTGCGTCAAGAACGATGCTGACACGTGTCATGGAATAAACTAACAAATACGACATGCAGAAAAATGGAACAGAATTGGGCATGACTATTGAAGAACTAAATTCTGTGCTCAGAATGTTTTTTCCATATTGGCCTCGTGGATATGCACAATGCCTGTGCATACTGGGAACAGGGAAGCAGGTATGAGCTTGTAGCACAAGTTATGTTGCGGAACCGATTCGAGAAGATAAAAAGTCACTTGCAACTTGCACTTCATTGACAATGATGTTGCAAGAGAAAAAACAATAGAAGATAAATGCTGAAAAGCGCACCCCTAGCTATCAGAACTATGCAGAAACATGATGAAAATTCTACAGGAAACTAAGTCTTGTAGTGATGAAATTTTCATTCCATTTTGGGGAAGGTCTCCGATACGACAGTACTTGCCAAGCAAGCCCAAATACAAGTGCGGTCTCAAGCTTTGGGCCTGGGCAGGAGGGTCGGGGTTCTGCTATGACTTTGACGTGTACCCAGCATCTAGCAGGGGTTTCTACGACGATCAAGGAGGATATGAGCTCGGTCTTGGAGCTAGAGTTGTTATCCAGCTCTGTTCAATCTTCCTAACCGAGAAAATAAAGCAATTATTGATGGTAATTTTTTTTCAAGTCCTCATTTGGTGAGTGAGCTCTCATGCAGGAAAATCTCATACATTGGCACTGTCCGAAAGAGCAGATTGCAATCATGAAAGTTGATGAGCGTGAAAGAAATGAAAAAGAAGGGTCATGGCTCCTTGGACTTCTGTGTTGCGTCGTGTGGTCAGAACAACTTGGTTGCCATGAAGTGGTTTGACAACCAGCCAGTAATTCTGATCTCTAACTGTGGGTGTTGATCCAATAACAACTGTCAAAAGATGGGACAAAAAGCAGAAGACGCACATACCAGTTGACTGCCCTGCTATTGTGCCAATGTACAATATGTTAATTGGTGGTGTTGATCTGCTAGACAAGATGTGCTACAGCTATCGCTTTCCAATGCGGGCAAAGCGATGTTGCATGTATATTTCCTGGCACACTGTCAAAATGGCCGCAGTAAATACATGGTTTCTGCATAAACACCACACACAACAGTAAGGCAATCGTACTATGCCACTGCGTAGTTTTCTGTCAGAGCTTGCGACCACATTGGTGCTTTACAGAAAGCGTGCATCTGGAAAGCCATCTACAGAAAATGTCTTGGTCATGAAGAAGGTCCTCAGTGTAGTACCACGAGGTGTCCCAAAAGACGGAGCACATCACTGGCCACTTTGGAACGAGCACAGAACTAGATGCAAGGCATGCAAAGGATTTTGATTGATATGTGGGGTTCAACGTCCGAAAACCACCATATGATTATGAGAGACGTCGTAGTGGAGGGCTCCGGAAATTTTGACCACCTGGGGTTTTTTAACGTGCACCCAAATCTGAGCACACGGGCCTACAACATTTCCGCCTCCATCGAAAATGCAGCCGTCGCAGCCGGGATTCGATCCTGCGACCTGCAGTTCAGCAGCCGAGTACCTTATCCACTAGACCACCGTGGCGGGGCCATGCAAAGGAGACTACACCTTTGTTTCTTGCTCAAAGTGCCAGGTGTATCTGTGCCTTAATAAAGACTGTGATTGTTTAACCCACTTTCAGCAGGCTTAGAACATCTTTTGGACAATCAGGTTCAGATCATTGTCTCATTCTTGAACTCAGAAAAAAATCATGTAAGCTGAGCTGGCTTTCACCTCTCCTTATACCTTCCGTTCAGTGTTGCATATGTACAACAAGCTGTAATTTCAAATGAGAGCATTGCGGGCTATTTATATGGTGTCTGTTTATGTTAGTTTAAATGCATGTATACGACTTGTCTTCTAGTTTTTTTTTTACGTTTTCTGTGACAGGGAATTACTGGGTTGAAGGAACACTGAAGAGGTTTTGAATTCACGAATTTATTGTGAATTCGGTATCCGTGACCTCTTACAACATGTCTACGGAGGTTTTTTTTCCACTAGGTTCGATTACACAACAGCGCTATAAGCGAGCAAAGTTTGACCAAGAGAACGTCCCCCCGGCACGGGCACGCGCAGGGGTGGAGCATGGGAGAAATAGACACGTGGGGAGGTGACACCATAATCCGGATCGAGCCGCTGCCCGACAAGCAACTTTGTGCTGGGCCGCCTGCGTTGCTCAGTCAGCTCAGCTTGTTTACTTCGCGGTTGTGCCTTGTTTCTGTTGCGGTCTGCTGCCTGGCAAAGCATCCATTCTGCCAGTTCGTAGAAATTTCTTGCCATTGCACTGTTCTGTTTTTCTGATTAGAGATTTTCGCCATCCGACATTCTCTAACAGTTGTGTTGGTGCAAGGGTGTAGTGGACTCGCGATGCCGAGTTACTGCGAGGTATATGGCTGCTGCAGCACTTATGATCGCGATAAAGTTGCTTTTCGCAAGTTTCCTTGGGATCAGACGATGGCTGCGAAATGTGCCGCTGTAGTTAAAAGAAAATACTTAAAACCTACAAGATGAAGCGCGCTGCGGCGGTTGCGAATCTGCCGAATTTTAAAGCAGCAGCCACACTCCTGTTTCTTCATTTGCACGCAGTGCATGCATGAGCCCGTATGGCGAAAACACGTGTACAAAGATGTCAGTATGCATAATCAAAATCAGCTGTTCTACACGACAGTCGCATGCTTCTAGCGCAGCTAATATACCGTTTGCATTTTAACACATTATCACTGTAGTACTGGGCAGAATTTTAAAAAGTGCCAGTATTATAAAAAACAGAACTACAATATATAAGCCAAAGTGTTCTTGCACAATATTCAGCGCAGTTCAGAGCACATATCACCACTGCGGCAAGAGCAGCACTAGTCTAGCTCTTTTTTTTTTCTCGCGGTAGCATACTGACTCATCACATGCGTCTTGCTCGCTGCGAAGTACAAAACTAACTGCATTAACAATAGGGCACTCTGACTTGTGAAATCCACGAACAGGTGATGTTTTTGCACACTGCCCGCACCTAGCTCCGAATGTACCAATACGCGATTAAAAGCGAGTGCCGATGCTGCTGTTTCTTATCGAATTTTATATCCTGTGATAAGCGTATCACTTGTAACACTGTTCTACAGTGAAATTAAGCACAGGCATGCATCTTATACGTGTCGACGCGGGTGAAAGTGGCTGGTCAGGACTTGCTTTTCTGTGCCGCTTCAGTCGTCGCCCTTCATGTGACGACCGGCTCAAACATGTACGGATGTACAGTAAACTCGGTCCAACTTTCACAGTTTGCCATACTTACAGCACCTACACGATTTCAACAGATAAACACGGCATTGACTGCCAACAAGCACAGTCAGCTGTCCTCATCTTCCCGACAGTGATGTCATGAAGCTTCGACCAACCACAAGGAGGGCGAGACTTGCGATGGCGGTTGCGGTGCCTGTTGCTTGTTTTTGAGAAAATAATGTTATTTGTGTTAATTTATGCGCAAAATTTCGACTTCATTATCGAGTTCGCAGCACGAAATTACGTATCATGAGACCATAATCTAATGTTTTATTTAAGTGTTTCCGTGTACCCTTAAAGGGCCCGTAAGCCACATCCAATATTTTTTCAAACATTTCAAGTAAACACGTGCATCGTATACCGAATGCCGTCGCGATCAACGATTTTACATGTGGCAGCGCTACAAGCTGCCGGCCCACCACTAATTTCAGAAAACAATCTCTTCTCCTTTCCAGGCCTATCGAGCCTCCGTGTGACGCGCCGTTCCGTATCTCTAACGTGCCAAGCCAAATATGCCGTGGGCGTCTCTCATAATTATATAGTGGTTTTAGGACGTTAAACCCCACATATCAATCATATCAAATATGCTGTGATTGGTCGAGCAAGAGCCTACGTCTTCCAGTTAATCTGCAAGCAGCTGTCCATGCTGCTTGGCGCTGCTTGTTGTTGTTCGTAGTGCGGCCCGCGTGCGTGCCCCTATTCTTGGCGGAGGTTGTCTGGCACGACATGTCCTGTACGGGATCCTTTTTTGAAGGTGTGCACACTATGCAGGGTTCATACTGGCACGATTACAGCAGCCACGGTTCGCCAACAAACACGCAGCAACGACACAGCTCACAGATTCTATGGCAAGAGTTACGGCAACCAGAAGTAGATGGTGTTTGAAGCAGCGCACCAGCGATGATGATATTAGGAGGGGCGTGGGAGGTGCACTCGGCGAAAGGGGAAAGCGGCTTGGGAGAGGATACCAGCGAAGAGAAGTGCAGATGAGTGATTGTCATTGTTTCGATAATCAAACGCGTCTAACTCCACTATTACTGCACCGTTTCTCACGGCTCCGTTTTCAACATAAACTCGTGCACAATTTCTCCACCACAACTGAATTTCGACCTCTAGGTGGTTTACGAGCCCTTTAAACCCATCACTCATACAATTCACAAGTCTTGATACCTGGCATGATTCTACCCTTCAGTCATGCAGCATTAAATGTGTTGAGGAGCCTCGTCACATTACCTGACATTCCTCTAGGGTATATTTTATTTCTTAGCGAACTGCATGCACTCTGGGCGTTTCTTTCTTTCCTTCTTTACACCAGCCCAACTTTCAAGAAGCTTCATTAAATTCAGTTTATATTAGACACGCAGAGAGTTTCTGAGAAGTAGCATTCACTAAATGAAACCACAAAGCCCTTGAATAAAACATTATTCCCTACAAACAAAAATGTTAAATGAGCCATACCTCGTAGTGGTATACCATGCATGTCAGCTCCCACCAGCATCTGTCACCTCTAACCTTGATCAAGCCCTGCATTGCAAGAACACAAACCACCACTACAATAAATGGACAAAAAATTAACAGCTGACCACTGGCAGACAGCACCATGACAACACAATTTAAACAAATGCCTTGTATTTAACTGTGTAAATGTCAATTTCACTGGTACTGTAAGTGGACTTACATAACATGTTATCTGGAAGCTTCACAAATATTTATTTTCATTAAACAAAGTTTCCTTTAATTGTAGTGACTCATAAGAATTGACTCTTTTATTACCGCACCAATATGGTTATTTTTCAAAGGTCTCGGGAAAATAGTTTTTGCAAGCTTGAAAAGTACTCCAGCACGCATAGCGGTATACCGAATTTTGCACAATGAAATGCTCTTTAAAAAAAATATATGTTGTACAGCAACAAAAATGTTTTGGAATGAAAAAATTATGTGAAAAGTTCTAATTTTGGTTGCCAGCTGGTAAACAGTGCAATAAAAACACTATATATACAAAAATGTGCAAAACAAAACAAATTCAAAATATGCATTTGAAGAATAAATGACCAAGGAACATTACAAAAATAATAAATGTACACAATGTTCCTATTCACACAGACAAAGAAAACTGGAACCAAGGTGCTGCTTCATTGCTCATACCATGCCCTGAAGGATTGCTTGGCGTTTTTTGAGACAAGTGAGCTCCTACACCTTTCTCCATAAATTTTTTTTTGGTGATAGGAGTCTGCAGATGCTCCAATATAGATGGATGCCTGTCATGTGAATGATTCCTCCAGAAATCGGATGTCCAATGAACTTCACTATTTTGTCTAGCGTCACCCCTTTCTATGAGCCACCTCACTCCGCATAGACTGGCGTTTCAACATATGCATCAAAGCATATTTATTTCTATATTTGCACATTATATTAAGAAAATTAACAATATTGTGCACAGTTCTATACATTTTGCGCTGCTCCGAAGTGAGAGCCAAGATGTGCTCCTGAGGCCTTCGTGTTGTGAGAAGCTCTGCAGCCGGCGCCAGCACACCGCACCTCAGCGACGCGTGGACCTCGCATATAACCAGAGTAGTTATAAAAGATTGTGAAAACAAAGGTCAGCAGCTATGCACTTGCAGTGGAAGATACAACTTGAGGCCGTAAACAAAACAAACACATGAACGGCTGCAGATGCCTCAGGCTGACGCAAGGCATTGTCGCCATAAAACTTGAAGCTGAGGTGCTGTCATCCTCGAACTCTAAGCTCGTCCTCACTCAATTCAGGTGCGGGTGCAAGAAAGTTTCGAGATGCGCATGTTTTTTGCGGGGCAGGTGCGCACCCATGCACGTGTAGCGACGACGTCATAGGAGTGATTAGTGACACTAGATGCGGCCCTGTATCTGATATAATGATACAAGCGAAACCAAAGCTGCTGGAAACTGGTTGATAAGGCCACATTTTTTATAGGCCACAGATTTACAGATGTGGTAGACATTGGGAAATATATTTTTTTTTAGAATAAATTTTCCCCACTTCCAAACAACAGCTCTCTATTAAATGGCTGGCATAAATTTCTGGCAATTATTACTGCTCAACACTGTCAGATTACAAAATTGTTGATATGTGACTTGCAAAAGCTCTTTTGAATACAGAAATTTGACGGTACTGTAGCATAACCACGAGGGGCACGCACTTCTGTTAAGCTCACCAGCCAAGTGCATTTTCCCAACAACACACGTACATTGGTTCACGCAAAAGTCTAAAAAATCACTGTGTTGCCAGAGCGGGCAGATTCAAACTGATTATAAAAGTTGAGTGGCTGGACTAACGACTAGAAAGTGCTGGGTGCACGAGAAACAAATGCCACATGCCAAAATCGATAATCCAAAGCATTGATTACTGGTGATCAATTTGAATAGTCGTGGTCGAAAGTGTTAAGGATTCACAGAAATTTGATCACAGCACTTCATCTGATATGACAGCAGGCAATTGCAATTTTCATGAAGAGTTGCTGCGGCTACAGTAAACAAAAACAATTGGTAAGTCACACTGCATGAAATTGAAAAGCCAGCACAATCACAATTCTAATGCCCTCAATAAACAATTTGGAGAGCAGACCTTGAATAACTGTATGACAATGCACCTGAAAAGGCTCTTCAAGACAAATAAACCAAGTGCTTGTTTCTTACATTGTGCATAGAATAGCAAGTGGAGCTGTTATCATCAGTTTTCACAGAACCAACACCAATATGCTGCTTAGTATTTTATTCTCTTTTGGAAATAAAGGCTATGGTGGCAACTGCCCTGTTAGTAATTATGTGAGTGAATGAATGTTGCATCTCAGACTTAATGATTGCCTAATTGCAAAGAATGTAGCAAATACCCCATACCCTATTAATTCAAATATTTCAATTTAAATATATTGTTACGAGTGATCGTGTTTATTTACAGATGAGGCAAAATGGTGTTGGGAAAGAGCAGTGTACTTCTGAGACAGGCCTTGTCCGGTTCTCCCAACCACACAGTTCAAGCGCTGCTCCACTACTCTTCTTCTTCTTCCGCACCACATACGCTCGTGCATCTTCGTTGCATTTCCCCCCGGCGGCAGACGAAGCTCGCCGAGCGAGTTAAATAAGCCTATGATGGTACTGTTTGAGGCGGGCTACGAGAACAATCTGCATAACGCGAACGCCGGTTATTGGCTGTGACTCGGGCGACAACGTAATTTACGTCACTGAAACGAGTCACTATCACGAATGGCCTGAATAGTTTGCTAGAAACTTCTGATACAATCTTTTTCTACGAACAGGAGTCCACAGCCAAACGTAGTAGCCAAGAGAAAACTCTACGGTGATATGCTTGGCATCGTAGCGACTCTTGCTGTGTTTTTGAGAAGACAATGTTCGAAGGCGCGCTAGTCGTTGTGCTTTTTCAGCACGATACAACATCTGAGCAATGGACAGATCTTCCTGATGCGAGAAAGGTAAGAGAGTGTCCAGAAAACTCCATGGGTTTCATGCATAAAGCAGAAAGAAGGGCGAATGTCCAGTAACTTCATGCTTGGCGTTGTTATATGTGTAAATAACAAACTGTAAGACGGCGTTCCAGTTCCTTTGGTCAGCATCAACGTACATCAATAGCATAATCGTAAGAGTTCTCGGTCAGGCCGTTAGTTTGTGGATTGTAAAGGGTGGAGTGGCAATAGGAGGAGCCACAGAGGTGCAAAATATTTTCAACCACATCGGCGATAAATTGCCGTCCACGGTCACTGATGACAACCCCTGGAGCACCGTGACGCAGTATGACCCGTTATAACAGAAAAGAAGAAACAGCGGCTGTTGTGGCCGATGTCAGTGCGTCCGTTTCCAAATATAGAGTTAAATAATCCACGCACACTATAACATATCGGTCGCCGGATGGGGTCTTAGAAAGGGGTCCAAGCAAGTTGATGCCGACTTTTTCAAAAGGGGATGTCGGTGGAGGAATAGGCTGCAAATAACCTGCCGGGGCAGTGGTAGATCGCTTGTGGCACTGACATATAGCGCAGCTGACGATGTACTGTTTTGTGGTCTTCCACATTTTTGGCCAGTAGAACCTCGCATGTAGTCGATGTAGGGTACGTGTGAAACGGAGATGACCAGATGTTATATCATCGTGCCTAGAACGAAGGACGACCTGGCGCAGGCTTTCCGGCACCATTAGAAGCAACGGGAGGTCGTCAGCTGAATAGTTTCTCTTATACAGCAAGCCATTTGAAATTGTAAAGTGCTTGTCGGCGGAGTTATGTGCAGCTTCAAGCAAGGGTTTCAGGGTAGGGTCGTGCTGTTGCTCACGCTCGAAGCTACTGGTATCTGAGAAGTCGGACGAGACAGAAACTAAATAGTCATCAATGTCATCGTCATCAGCATTGATGTGTACTGAAGGAAGGCGGGATAAGCAGTCGGCATCCGTACGATATCGTTCGCTGTTATAGGTCACAGAAAATCTGTACTCTTGGAGGTGCATCGCCCAACGAGCCAGCTGGCCAGACGGGTCGCGAAGTCCCACAAGCCAGCATAGTGAGTGATGATTGGTCACTACTGTGAACTCACAGCCATGTAGATACGGTCGGAACTCCTGAATGGCGAAGATAACGGTATAGTTCTCTGCTCTGGTCAGTGTCCGACTGGCATATGCTACGACGTGCTGACGGCTGTTGCAAAGTTGGACCAGCACAGCACCACCACCTAGCCCACTAGCATCAGTATGAAGTTCAGTCAAAGCGTCAGGATCAAAATGCTTCAGGATAGATCCTGAAGTCAATAAAAACTTCAGCTGTTGCAATGCAGTCTCACATTTATCATCTCACAAGTACGGTGCGGCTTTATGAAGAAGGGACGTCAGTGGGGAGGCAAGTTCTGCGAAGTTCTTAATAAATTGGCGGAAATATGAGCATAGACCCAGAAAACTTCGCAGGTCCTTCACTGTTTGTGGTTGTTCAAAGTTGCGAACCACTGCGGTCTTCTGTGGGTCTAGTTATATGCCTTCTTTATCCACAAGAAAGCCTAATACAAGGGCTTGACGTTCTCCAAAGTGGCACATCTTTGAGTTTAAAATAAGGCCAGCTTCGCGTAAGCATTCAAACACAAGTGACAAGCGATGGTTATGCTCTTGAAAAATCTTTCCATAGATAATCACGTCATCTAAATAGTACATGCAAATTTCCCATTTTAGTCCACAGAGTACTGTATCCACAAATCTCTCGAATGTCGCTGGAGCATTGCACAAACCAAAGGGCATAACATTAAACTAAAAAAGACCATCTGGTGTTACGAAGGCCATCTTCTCTTCATCTGAGGGATGCATAGGAACTTGCCAATACCTAGAACGCAAGTCAACAGAAAAAAAATAGGAGGCAGAATGCAGGCAGTCCACAGCGTCATCTATACGTGGCAAAGGGTAGACGCCTTTTTTTGTGATGGCATTTAGGCGACGATAGTCTATGCAGAATTTCCATAAATTATCCTTCTTCCTGACTAGAACGACAGGAGCTGCCTACAGA